TCTGACGTCACTGATGACACCAGCTGGCGGTGGCCGGGCGTCCCAGACTGACGGCGCCGCTGGCAGCAGCGCCGGTGTGACGTCACAGCCGGTCGAGCCGCTGCGCCAGCTGGGAGCGCCACAGCGGACACACAGCCCTGGGGGGGGGGCAGGGCGGTGGTGACGTCACAGCCGTAGTCGAGCCGCTGCGTCAGTGGGAGCGCCACAGTGGACACACAGCCCTGGGACGGGGGCGGAGGCGGAGTGTGTGGTGACGTCACAGCCGGCGTCGAGCCGCTGCGCCAACTGGGAACGCACATAGTGAACACAGCCCTGGGGATAGAGCAGAGCATGTGGTGTCGCAGCTCCTCAGCTGTCGTGACTGACTGGAATAGTCCATCGCCATGGAAACACTGAAGATAGCTCACACAGGAATGAAGTGTCCAAGGTTAAAATCAGTGTTAGAAGACCAGATTTGAACATGCCGACTGCAGCATGGACATGCACTGAATATAACTAAAGTGACCTCACTATGATGAAGTTATTTCAGCATCAACACCTATAACAGTCAGGGTGCTGATGAGCAGCCCCCTAGTGATGATCTCCAGGATCACTAGTCAGCACAGGTGGCCCGATGTCATCCACAATCTCCATCGCATCTCTCACATCTCACCTTACCTTTCCAGACAGCCTAAAGATGGCTCAGGGTCAAAAAGGTTACATCTCCCACTTTTCAAGCATGAGACACCAACAGGTGCATAACTCATTCAACTACACTCTAATATACATTATTTCAACTATACTCTATATTCCAACACAACTATGACCATCACAAAATCCAGTGATAAAAAGTGTATGAAATTCAAGTGACCATGCTACAAAAATGATGGGGAATATCAGCACACCCTGCATCCGGAAAAATGCCGCACAACTCAGGACAGATCAGAGATGATGATGCCAATGCTCACCTGGGAAAGCTGATAAGAACCTTCAGGCAGCTGGAAGCTAGGTCACTTGTGCTTATTGGTCCCAGACGCCCAATAATGGCTTCCAGTCGACCTTTGACCTTGACCTCACCCAAGGTCAGCTGAAGATCATGCCAGTTGACCTCTGAGCCGAGCCACGGCAGCGAAATCAGAGCCGCCAGCACGTCCAGCACAGAGACATCTAATGGCCAGGCTAGCAAACCCGTCACGGCCTCCAAACTGTGCCGGTAGATGGCAGGGAATTCGCCGACTGGACTTGATTCGATCTTGGAAAGCATGTGAAGGATGATCTGCAACAAAAGAAACAAACATTGACCTGTTTTGTATCGTTTTCTGAGGTGACAGCCACAGGCTAAGCACTTAACAATGCATTTCAAGTGCTCTCTCCGGATAATATCGGGGTATGAAAACAACCTCAAACATGCAGACCGCAGTTTAATGCAAGCACAAAAATCATGCCAGCGTCTCGCGCCTCACCTCCGCCGCCGCGCCGTCCCGCTCTGCCGACGTCATCCGTGACGTCACCGCGTGTAAGACGTCACGGCTCGACGCCAGCGGTCGGCGGGGAGCCCGGCGAAGTCGGCCGCGGCTTCTACTGCAGGGAGAGGCGGGACAGGAGGCGGCGCGGGCCGCTCCAGGCGGCTGAGGAGCAGCTGGTGCCGAGGAGAGGTCAGACGCCGGCCCAGCAGACCGGTCACCGCACGCAGCGCGTACCTGACGGCGTAGGCAGGGCACCGAAGTCAGCAAACAAGCAAAAACCCTTACAAAGGAACGACAAAAGAAACCCCAAAAATGAGCGCACGAGGAAGTACAAGGGATCACAATTATGGGATGCATCGTTTTCAACCGATCATTATCTGCTCTGGGACATTCCCCACTGCCATCTGGGACACCAGAAGCATGGAGTTCAATTCCCCGCGTTGCCCCATTTTCTGTCAGGGCGGGAGGCAGGCGATGCCGCTGTAGCCTCAGCTGCTAACAGCTGCTGTAAGACCTCAATAACATACTTGCTTGAACATACATGCTTCCCAGTGCCCACCATACCCACATACCTGCACACCTTCCCCCATCCACCGATGCCGCAGTTCCACCCATCCCACCTGCAAGCACCGGTGCGACCGAGCTGGGTAAGGCAGGCGACGACCTCGTCCAGCTGCGCGCCCGTAAGCACCAGCAGCTGCGTCACCTCGTCCGCCAGCGCGAACTCCAGCACGCCGCACCGGAAACGGCTCACTTCCAGACCCGGCTGCAGCGTCTGTCAGGAGGGGGGGGGGGGGGGTGGGAGTTGCCACTCGATAGTGATATTGTCATAGATATTGACATGGATGTTATCGATCAACACCCCAGGCATCACAAACATCAGAGGAGAGTCTGGTTGATTATTTGGACCTCAGTGACGCATCTGGAGGGTCATATAGCGACCACTGGGATGCACTCAGCCGAGGAAAGAAGAGCAGTGATGATTACCACATCGACATTACGACACTCAGCAATTCTGGTAACATTCAGGTCAATACATCCAGACCCAGCAATACTGTATGAGGCTCCCAACACGGACAAAACTAATCATTTCGCCGTCCGCCGACAAAAACCAGTATCAGATTATGAATGTCAGCAACCTGAGTACAATGCTGCGCTCATGATGTAAGCCAGTACCGAACTTCAGCGAGCTCGATGTAGAAGTCATCACCTGTTACAACATTGGCTGCTCATGATGCCACCTGGTGACACCCAAATCCTGTTTGTAAAAGCAAAAACCATCATCATAAACACACAAAGTTGACCTCATGAACTGATAAAGGTATCATCTTGCCTCCTGCTCACCATACCATCTGATAGTCTCGTGATATGTCACCTCATGATAACATCTCCAGCCGGCGCTCAAGCTTCCTTTTCACCTTCACAACCGACGGCAGCGATGTTTCACCGACCAGCCGCAGCGTGACGCCACCGTCGGCGGTCAGCTGACGCAGAGTCGCGATCCACACGTCCAGCACAGGGCCGGCCAGCAGGAGCGGGTCCCGCGCGTGCAGTGTGCGCAGCAGGCGCAGGGCAAACGCCGTGGCGCGCTGCCGGACCTGGCGGCGCGAACGGGTGGTAAGGGCGCAAGCCTTGCCAAAGAAGTCCTTGATCACAAACCCACTGGTGGTGCACTTCTGTAGATGTGTTTCCCTTGGTAATGTGTGTGGCTGCAACAGCACATAAATGCTCTTTTAAAGGGAATGGATTCATGAATGGTATTCCTACTTTAAATGGAATATGCACACAGCCTTTTCTACTAACTAATGTATTGAAAGCTCTTCATTTTTACCAACAATGCAGATAAATAAGTAGCAAATCACAGCACATGGAAAACGTGCAGCATTACTTCACCCGCTACTACGCCTCATGCCACCAGCACCTTAGGGGCCAACGGATCATCTAAGAATGCAGTGTTCTCACCTCTCCTGTCCTGAGGTCACCATGGACCACCACCAGCTGCGAGAACACCCAGGCAGTGAACTCCTGACACGGTCGCCGGTCACCAGATGGCTCCACCAGCGCGGATACAAACACCCCTGCATCGTTTGACAGACATGCTTCTAGCGATGTCAGTAGCATGACCCAGACTTCCACCACCACCCAGAGATGGCAGCACTGTTTGAAAGACCGCTACAAACTTCTCACGGAGGCTTGAGTGGTCTGGGTCGTCATCTTTAGTACCTGAAAAGCATGTTAGTTCCCTCTAGTCAGGAAACATTTCAGGGCTTAACTTCATGCCATGACCGGCATTCACGGTTATCCTTCGGGAGAACACAAACTTGTCATCCGGGCTATTTTTCCACTTATCAACAATCTGCATCATGACATCTTGTTGGATGACCACAATTATTTTACAAGATTTGATCCACACCTGTTGAGCAGATGGATTTCTGGGATCAGAGCTCACACTCATGCAGTGCTTGGTTAAGTGAGCCCTGACCACATCATGGAATTCCAGACAACCCCAGAATTTTGTGATGAAAGATTCATGTGCCGCAATGCTGGGCAGTGGACCCTCCTGCCCTCTGATGTGCAACTAACCCTTAGCACAACCACTGTCTGGGCTGCAGGTCATACCTGTCAAGGTCAAAATAGCCTGCCCTAAAGCCACTTTAGTCCACCTCAACCAGATCTGAGGGCCCAACCTCAACCAGATTCTGAGGGGGGGGGGGTGGATCCAAAGGCAGGCACTCTAACTATAACTGAGCCACCCAGAACGGATAGGATAATAGGATGAAAGGTGACACTTTTTGCTGGTGGTGCTATCCTGAGTCAGCAGAACCTTGTTGCTCTTTGGCATATTTTATTGTTATTTTCATACATCTTGTCTGCACACTTTAATTATAGTAGTTAAAATGTCATTATCATAGCATAATTTATTTTGCATCACCAGGTTGGTACATACCTGTCCACATACAGATACAGACACAACCATGCACACAAATATAGAGCAAGACAGTAGGCAGACTCAAAACTTGCTTGGTGGGTCAGGGGACTCTGCATCAAGGGTCATGACCTAATCACTGATTTTCTGGGAGATAAGAATTCACCCTAAGGCTTGTAGGATTAATCCTGATCCTATCACCCAATAAAAAATCCACTTCTAACAGCAAAGGTTGGGTCAAAAGGCTAGGCAGCGCAATACTCTGCATGGTCCTCCACCATTACCTGATCTGACCCTTGAACAATCACTGCCACTAGCCACAGGTTACCCCCAGCCAGGAGCAAAAAAAAGCTGGAGGTGGGCTGAACCACCCAGCAACACTAGCCAGGTTGGGATTGTTGGAGGCATGTGTTCTGATGAAAGGCCCATTTGACCATCCCTGTAGCCCAATTGTAAAATGTATAGCATGTATAGTAATGTATAGCATGTATAGCATGTAAAATGTATAGCAATATAAATGAATGTATATATTATATATATTAGATATATATATATATATATATATAAATGCTATCCATACTGAAGTTTTCATCTATTTAATTTCAAAGATTAAATCAAGTAATCCTGTGTCTCCTGATGATATACTACGTCATTATACATTGCAAAGGCATCATGCATGGACAGTTTATTTCTGAAAGAGGCATGAATCCATGCCTGATATCCCTGTGGTAGTGCGTGTGGTAGCCAACATCTATATAAAATCTTGCTAGACCTAGTTCAAATAGCAAGATAGCAATGACCAGCGCAAATGAGTGGCGCACGTCACATAAAGTTAACGTACCTTCTACACAATGTTCGCGACCAAAAATGGCAAACACTAGGGGAGTCTCTGGCTGACTGATTGCGGGTCTAGTTGCAAACACTCTCTAGCGTCGGGTCGTTGCGACCACTGCCGTTTCGAATTACTAGCGGCAGTGTCAGTCGCCAGCACCTCTTGGTACTTCAAAAGCGGCCCAACACGCCTGGCAGGTACATGTCTTCTACCAACGGTGATCACCCGCCAAATTTTCGCTAAGATGTGCGGATATGCGCACTGTTCGTCAAGATATATGGCAGCACTTTCATCATGATTGATCAAGAACATTTCCACACTTGAACTACCGTCGCGTTTGATCTACGATTCTAAGATGCTGAGCGATTTTTTGCATGATAACTGAAAATGCAATACGGACGTGGTGTTATCTTTATTACGTGTTTAATCTACATGTATGGTTCAATATGTACATTAAATACATAACTCACTCCTGGCTCTCGAAATGGAAATTGGCCGAGCAATGGGGGGTGAGATCACTCGCGGATCCATAAGGGAGGTGAGGAGGGGGGGGGGGGGGGGGGCACAGGGCCATTTCCCTTCTCTTGTACCCCAAAATCATCGGTATGGGGTTCTCCCCGCTACCTCTGAGAGCCTACACTAATGACGGGAATATCTGCGTTGGCCCGCCGCGACACGCTCGGTCACTCAGGTACCGTCCCCATTGGTCTTGGATTTTCTATTTTGCCATAGGGCCCACGCCGTTGACGGGGAGCCCAAATGTTAACCGGCCAAGACACTCTTGATCGTTCAGACCTTTCCACATCTGTCATGGGCTCTTCAGGTCAAGTCAACAGAATCTTACTCTGTTGCAGAAAGCGCCATTGTGGCCTGCGAGCGCTAGGACGTTTCGCCTGCCTGTGTGTACAGGCGTGCCAAAATTTACGTATTGTACACAAGTCCGAGATATACACGATGATGATTCCTCTTACATCCAATCCCCAGAGAGAGAGCCAAATATATTCCGATGATTTTTAAGCACAACTACCGAGAATAATGTTACGCGCCACCGACGTCGTATGCAATATTTCGTTTGTTATTGAATCCATTATGGAACATATGGCAGCTGTGTGACATGAAACTTAAGACAGCTGTGCAGCACATTTTAACATATTTTATGTCCTGGGGTATTGTGCTCCCCTTTAATTACGGTCAAAGGAAAAGCATTCTGCGTTAGACATTAGAGACCAGCTGTTCACATAAAACTAGCTGGCGAGCCGTGAGTAGCCTTGGAGTCAAATTTTTAGCTTGATTTTGACGGTACTTCTTAGCTAGCTTTAGCTTATTTTGCCATCTATTCTCCGCAATACTAAGCCTCAAAATAGCAGGATCCACCATGATCTGGATACAATGAACGTGATTCATATATGAACAAACGTACCACGCCTAGCTCTCGAAGGGTGCGCACAGTAAAATGGTACCGCGTATAAAAAACAGCATTCATAATAATTTGTTTTCAATCGAATGGCCGGAGTATGAGGATCACCTTTTGGAGGGAGCCCCAAGCTCCCGGGGCCACGCCATGTTGCGTGGCCCCTATGACGACATCCAGGATCCGCCATCAGGCGGAGACCACAAGGAAGGCCATGCACAGATTACTCGTCCCACGCGTTTCAGCCTAAAAACACCGGGGCCTCAGGGCCTCAACAGCTAAAAACACCGGGGGCCTCAGGATCTCAACAGTACTGTAAATGCGCGCCAGCAAACACCCCGGGAACACCACAGACCCCGCAGTGCACTGGACCACCTGCGGTGCTGTGGCTGATGCTCAGCGGTGCTCGCCGCCCCAGCTGGTAACCGGGCGCCGTGCTCCCTCTACCCTGCAGAACTGAAGAGCGGCGGCGAGCCGTTGCTGTCGACTGGACGCCGATGCCGGTGGTCTTTCTTCTGTGGTCGGGGTGGTGCTGCAACGCCGCCAGTGGTGTCACCGCCTTTGGTTTATATATTAAATGGCGATTTGTGTGTTCTGGCGAACAATGAATGCACTGCCATTGGTCGTATGCGTTCTACGCTCTTGGTGCTTGATTTCTGAAAGGCGCCACATTTTTTACGTAGGTAACACACATATTGGGAACACATTTGACAACTCATTGTTAAATGTGTGCTTAGCAACAACTAATAGTCCTTTCTTCAGACATGTAGCCACTCCGAGCCTGATGTTGCCAACAGGGGTTGCGCTACAGCCGACCGCCATTGTTTTGCTGAAAGTTGTCCAGCGCGGAGCCCCGCTTCCGATGTTGGTTCTGTTAGTTGATGGGTTTGGCCTCGCTCTACAGCCACGGTACGTAGTTCATATCACAAATTGCCCACATGTCGCCGGCTTTCCTTAGAAGGTAATTTTTCAGACCATTGCTGCTGGGAGTATCAACTCAGATAATTCAGTGTAATTCATGATGCCTGCATGTCCGTCGTACACTAGAGTAAAGCAAAGTCATTCTCATGTATCGAATGCAGTGGAAGTTCTTGCTAAGAAAACACGGGTGTCATGGCATTATTACAGCGTGCACGCGGCTTATTGATTGCCGACCAAGTGAATGCATTCGTGGAACGCCATGTCCAAATAATAGTCCCGGGTAATAATCTGACAGCCGTCGCCATTTACGCAGGAGTTCATTGATCTTCTTTTTAACTGTTCACTCTGAATATTTATGCCGGTACGCGACGTTTGCACGCCAGCAGAGCATAACGAACCATCGAAATAAACGACACGGTAGAATGAGGGCCGGCCTGGGTCGTGAGGCAAACCTCACCTGTTGTTAGTTGCGGACAGCCTGAGCGTGGGAAGCTCACCCTCGGCTCCTTCTCCAGCGCGCCGTGCAGGTGGCCGTTCCTGTTGGAAAGGTCGTACTGCTGGTTCGACTTGAATTGTGCTCTCCACTGAGGACTCGCAGGAGATCAATGCCCGAGGGGGAGATCTACGATGTCTTACAGTTCTCAGCAGCTCTGAAAGTTCACTCTCCAAGATCATTCGGTGCATCCAGCTCGATGTTTTGCTTCCTTTGACCTGTACGCCCGCCTGAAGATTTGAGGACTTGGAAACTTGAAGAAAGGATTCCCGACATCACGGCAGGCACTGGCAGCTCACCAGTTTGCAACCTTAGCACTCAGCCCAGCGTCTACACGCTTGTTGGGGGCTGGAACGTGCTACAGGTGACGTCATATAGGAATACACCACTTTCTCTAACCGAGGAAGCCATTACTGCTCGCGTCTAGACGTATTTGGCTGCAAAATAACAATGCAGGTGTCGGCCCGCAAAAGGCATTCCTGTCCGCGAAGCTCCCGTGGTCTCT